ACTTATACTGAAAATTATCTCTTCATGAGAGCCAGAAAACTTAATGTGAGGGTACTTTAGTCTAGCTAGATCGGATAATCTCCCCCCTGCATTTGCATCTCCCTCTCCCAGAGTTGTAAATCAAGAAACAGGCCTTCGTAGCCAGCACAGTAGTGATGGAGATGTGACCTTTGGAAACCACAGCCATCAAGGCTGCCACAAAGGATGAGACATGAAATCCATCGATACCACTGCTCTCACCCTTCACAGTGGTGAGCACAAGATGCTTCATTCAAGTGAAATGCTATGAGATCTGGGGTCGTCCCATTCATTCAGTAAATCTCATCCCAATCTCTACGATTTAAGAGCTACTCAACAAGTAGCTCCTTTCTGAAGGTTATCAGCTTTAGTTACAACTTCTCCAGATACTCTTGCTATGTATAGAAGATACTTGGTTTCAGCACTGCCACACAGTCAGTTCCCCACTTCTGAGAAGTTACTCGTTGTCTATTACCAGTTTTAAGTCTGCCATCTTCAAATGTCATTAGATCCTTCCATATTCTTGTGTAGCATAGAAGTAAAAGCTCTTCCCTGCTCATGCCTGCTGGGCTGGAACAAGCACAGAGTAATCAGGAGAACTGGTGCACACTAACAACAAGCATCACTGGCAGACTCCTTTGTAAATCCACAAAGCACCAAATATCTCTGTGGTACTGTACGAGTAATGATAATAAGCTGCTCCTAATACTCCAGCAAAAACACAGTAAGTATAGGTTTAAAATCAAGTGCATTTTTTTCTAACATGATTAACAAAAAGAATCCTTGCAGAGATTATCAATGCTCATCAACAGAAAAAGCTACATTTTTTCCTTTCACCGAAGAAAACATGATGTTCAAATTGCAGAAAAGGCTATTTTATCAAGGCAAGATTTCTCTCTTCTGGATGCTTTTAAATGACATAGAGAAGACTCTAGGAACAGACAGCAGTAAACATAACTCCCTTTTTTCTTCAAATCTCAGGCCCAAAACAGCACTTCTTATAGTAGAAAAAAAATCAGCATTCCCGTTGCAGGAATGAAACCTGTTTCATGCAAGGACGGATGATCCAAATGGTCTTTTACAGGCCTTATCTAATTTATCTTCTTCAAACTTATTGAAATGCACACACTCCCAGCCTCAGCAAGGCTCATTAAAGCTCACAGGTGTTCTGAAGGCGTCTTTTTCAGACGGCGCAATCTAAGGAATATGAATCACTGCATCTGTGTTTATTGCAGGCGCCCATCCCAGGCGTTTGCTGGGTGAGAGCAAGGAGCCAGACCTGCATGGGAAGAATGTCCCTGCCCTACGAGACAGTGGGATGAGAGAATTGCTCTTGGACAAAGGTCAGGCAAACCTTTATTTTAATTCATGTCTCCTCCGTTTCACTTTTGGCCCACAAAACAGTGGAAACCACGGCAGAAGAAAAATACCTAATTTATACTTTGGAAAAGGCCTTACTTCCAACAGGTCTATATGGGAATCCTTGAGGATGGGTATTTTTTAGCTGTAAGCCACCCCTGCAGAAAAAAAATTAAGTAGATGATTTAAAAAAAAATTCTTCTCATATAAAGAAGCTTTGGCATTATTCCTCCTGGAGACTCATTCTAGTGTTTTACTACTCAAAATAACCCTTAGGACTTTTGCACAGCCTGAGCATGTGGAAGGACTCATTGACAGGCAGAGCTCAAAGTGCCAACACACTGCACCAGCAAGGGCAGCCTCTGGTCCAAACTGTGGCTGTAAATCTCAGCTGACATATCAACAACTCACTGCCCGATGTGTCTGAAGTCATGCCTCCTTTCTGCCCTCACCCTGACCACACTCCCCTTCCTTCACCCATTTTTCTCTTGGAGAAACACTCAGTAGGGTCAACATGGAAGAACTGCTGCTTCAGTAGGTGCCAGCCCAAGCGATTACTCAAAGCCAAAAAGGTAAATCAGATGAAGCAATGAGCAGGCTGCCAAAGATATTCAAAATGCCTGAAGGTCCACCAGAGAAGCTTGCTGGGGCAGGTACAAAATCACCTGAGCATTTCAGTCCCATGGGCCACTTCAGCAGTTCTGTGCAACCTTCTGTAAGGATATTTGAGTTTCCCTTGACGCAACGTTCCTCCAGACCCACCTGTACTTGGGCTGACATCATTTTTAAGGCTGACTTTAATCAAAGGTGAGCATCTTACCTGGAAGACTGGAGTTGAGACTCTGAGCTCCACCTTTCTGGCAGCTGTAACTCACCTCACTCTCCATCAGCCTCCACACTCAGAGCCAGACCTTTGCCACACCGGATTTCAGTCACCGCTACCGACCACTTCCCCAGTTGACTCCTCCCTAGCTACAAAGAAGCAAACAGAAACACAACCTCTCTCTCCCTAGACCTGAAGGCCAAAAACAGCGTGTGGGGGGATTTCAGCCTGGCCAATCTAAGATTCAGAAGGTAAATTCCCCATTTCAGAGATAACTGAAGCTGTCAAGATCTTCCCAGACGTTTACCCAACCATGGAACTAGAGGAGCAGCAAGAAACCTGAGCCACAGCTGCAGAAGTCCTTTGCCTTGCAACAGCTTTCACGCAGGTATTGCCCCAGCTGAGTCCCCACCACACCATTTTCAAAATTTAAGCTTGCTGCAGTAAGGGAACAGGCTGTTTCCATGAGATACTCTGCATTTGCATGCCCTTATGTGCTCACAAAGCAGCTGAAACACCTCCCAGCATCTGGGGGAAGCAAGTTCAGGGAAAAGAAAAAAATAAAGATTCACATAAAGCAAACGACGCCCACCCAGCCTGGAAAACTGCCTACAGCTAACCTCATGTTAAACAACCATTGCTAAGTTTCTCTTGCTAAAGAAAAAGATGGTACTTTGCTTCCTGGGGAAAAAAAAAAATAAATTGTTTTAGGCGTTTTGAAAGGCTCATTAAGTTTGCAGGTGTTCTGGGGAGATCTTGGTTCCAGCACTGCAGTGAGTATCCCACGCCGACTCTTCCCCTGTGTTGCTCAAGTGCTGAATGAAAGCTTAAAATGGGAAGGGGAGATCATGTTGTATGTGGAAACCCTGGGAGAAGAGGTGGGTGCCACCAGGGCTGCCACAGAAGTGCTCTCCTAGTGATGTCCATTCGGACACTGACAAAGGAGACGAAATAGAAGACGAAGCATGGCAAAGGCATCCAAGAAATAACGTGGCTTGTCAAAAGAAAGTGAGAGTGTATCTCAGCAGAGCAGCCAATGCCACCCAGCAGTGGGGAGCTGTATGCCAGCAGGGAAGGGAAGCACGTTACAGCTGTGACTTGCATCATGACTGAAGTGACATCTTCCCTCAGATCTAAGGGGCAGGTGCAAAGACCAGTATTTTCACTGTGGCTAATCCACCGTTGGCAGATTCATTTTACTCAAGACCTGTTGGGAGCAGTTTCATTGCTGCCCAGAAACCTTTTCATTTCCTTAAGTGCAGCCATTTAAAGTGTCTTCCCTTGAATTGGTATTTCTGGGCTTTGTTGGTTAGATTTGTTTTTTTACCTCCATCAGCAAGAACCCTTTCATCTTCAACTCCTCCATGACAGGCACCACATTTACCTGCATGATAACTTCAGGAAGCTTCCCAAGGCAGCCTGCATAGGGTTCAGCTGCCGAAACAAGGGTTTCTAGCACCATTTTATGTGCCAGACTCCCAGCTGCTGTGACAGAAGGCCGTTTGTCTCCTCTGCGTTCTGGCTCATCCGTGCCAGCACATACGGACGTGTCTCATCACTGGGGGGCAGAAGACCCTGATAACCAGGCACCTGGCCTGCTCCCTCTGTGTCCTCCTTCCCAGGAAGGCAGCTTGCATCATCTGTCGCTCCTTCCTCAAGCTCCTATTTCTCCCGTGTGTAAAATATGCCACGTGCACTGATCTGAAGTTTGGGAATGTCTTCTGGCAGCCCTGAGTCTGTCACCCAGGTAATTTGTCATAAAATACGGCCAGAATTGATATTAATGTTGATATTGAAGATGGTGATCATGACTTGCAACCTAAGTATTTGCCAAAGGAAAATAAAAACCAAAAAGCCATTTTGAAATACATAAACATTTGAATCCTAAAGAACAAACCTGTGTGAAAATATCATGGAAAAGGTAAGGATTGGGCAGCAAGCTTTGGTGAATGTTTCCCTGCAGCTGCTGTTGAAAGTCTCCGGTGCGGAGGCAGGCATCTCCAGCAAACAAGCTGTCAAGCAGGCTTCAGTCAATCAGCTCCATGAAGAGAAGAGGATGCTGGATAGAGCTGGCTGCAAATGCAATCTCTCAGCATTTGCATCCTTCGCTGTGTTAACCCTCAGTCAGGACTGGAATTTTCCAATGCAATCAGTCGTGTGCTTGATTTCAGGTGCCTTTCTGAGAGGCTTCAAAACTAAATTCCCCCCAAACTTTTAAAATGAAGCTCCAGGAAAAGAAAATAGGATCTTTCTGAGGTCCCAAGCAAGGTATTGAAGGGACAGGTGTAAGGAATCACCAAATCATTTTTAAAGCTTCAGCTGAAATCCTCTGTTAAGACTCTGACATATGCACTTACTGCTTCTAGCAAGGGAAAAATCCAAAGAAAAATCATGGAATATCATCTAGGAAGCATATTGTAGGAGACCAGCAAATCAGATGTGCTGTCACTGCTTTCAGGTCAATTACTGCATTTGTGGCTGATCAGTCTGATCAATTCATCTGCATACAAACCCCACGCTACACCAACTCACCTGTGAACAGTTTTGAAGCAATCAGGCAGCACAGTTACAAGGGAGGTGTCCCTCACCACACGTTATTGTCCTTTAAGCATTAACAACCAAATTTAAATTTATGTCAAGTATTCACATGAAAGAACCAGATTCCTTACAGCCTTAATAAACAAAACAAGAAAAATAGAAGGACATTTATCTTAAATTGTTAGGACTAGTGCAAAGCATTAGATTTATGCTACTACCATTTCTGAACTCTCCATTCCCTTTCACCCAGCCCTTTATTTACCTTGAATCCCCAAAGGACTAACATTGCCTCTCAATGCTGGCACATGATGGTACCGGTGTGGCCTTGAACTCCTGTACATCCAGTGGTACCTGCCAATTTCCATTTCTGGTCTGGTGATCACTGCCAATTTCAGGTGGTAAAAAGTCAGTGTCACCAGCAAGTTTTAGTTCAGCACTTTCAGTCATTTAACTTTAAAAATAAGAGCCCAGAAAAACATGTTGTAGTTTCAGAACTGAAACGACATAACTTTAGCAAGTCAAGGGAGGGTTGAGAAGGACACTGACAGGAAGACACACAGGTGTTAAGAAAGGTTGAATAGCTCAAACTCCACCTAGGATTTGAATTAAACATGTAAGGAAGGACTCTATTCCTTCTCCCCACCCACTCTCACATCTCCCTTTCTTTGTCCATAGCAAAGAGTTGTGCTCCAGAAGTAAATGAAAACAAAGTCACAGAAAACCACGTTACCTGTTTTTTTTTTAAACAACCCTAAATCTGTCAAAGAAAATGGTTATTGTCATGTGTTTCACATAAGCTCTGCTCACATCCAAAAACCTGGAGCACGTATGTTAAGGCAGTGTTGTTCCAGGTTTACAGTGAAGGAGAGCAGTTACCCTTCTCCTCGCGTTTTCAGAGGAGAGATGAAGCTCAGCAATGAGACCCCACACGCAGCACCACACCTGACCTGCTCGCACACTCATCCCACACTCATCAAGACCCCTGAAAGAGGCCACTGGCAAAACAACGTCAAACCACTTTTGAACCTACATGTTCCCCTCAGCACCATTACGGCTTCGTCAATGCTGTCAGGGCAAGAAAGAGAGATCTTTATCTAAAATGCACCAGCATCTCACTCTGTGGTGGCTAAATGAGAAAGTAACCATCATCTGGCCAAAATAAATTCAATTCAGCAGCATTTGGGCTGGAGAAAGCAAAGGTCATGAGGCTGAAAACCCATCTACCATAGACTAGATCAGAGACAAATTTTGGAGGGCAGGGGGAGTAGGAATGCCACAAATTTTGGCCCATGAGGGGCTAGGAAGGTCCTGGATCTGGTCCTTCTCATGGGGTTTTGCTACTACAAGTTCAACACAGCTACACTTACGTATGTCAAGAAGGGAAAAAAATCTTGGCCTGAAATCCACATGTCGGATCTAGAGGTTTGAAACAAAAATTTATTCATCTCCTAGACTGGCAAATGAACTACAATACTGAAACAGTCTTTTGGGTTTGGGATGCAAACTTAGTATCAATGGCTCTCTAAAAGGATATTTTGTGGCTTGGTATATCTCCCCTCCTGCCACTCACACACAAACCAGCAAGCAGGCATCTGGTAGTATATTTTTCCTAAAAGACATTATTCTACCTTCTACAGTTTATTCTTCCTTTTAGGAAAGGCAAATTCCACATCTTAATGAACATAACCGAATTCAAAGTGTGTTGAAGGCATCCTTCCAAATTGACTGTGCATGCTCAGGGTGATATCATCTCCTCCTGCTTACACAGGAACAATCCTGTTTATGAGATCACACGAGGCGCCATGATCATTTAATTTGATACAAAATGGAAATAACAGAATTGCTCGCTAGTACTGCATACTGTCTGCCCTCTCCCTCACAAATGTTTGCCCCCTGTGTTTTGGTTTTTTTTTGAAGCTACTTACTGGACATCAGTAACAGATTAAGACTTTTTTTTTTTTTTTTAAGTAAAATTAAGCAGCTGCAGAGACTTCTGGGAAGAAAAGAATTCTTCATTTGCATTCTAGACCAAATCCTTGGCACTAAAAGGATTTTATCCTATCAGGCCTGAACCTACAATTTGAGATTTCTCCTGCAGCAGCTATAAAGCCCCCTTGCTCAGGGCAGCAGAGCAGGCAGCTGCCTTTCCCTCTTAGCCTGAGGGGACGCTGGTGAAGTCACCGCTGTCTGCTGTGGGATGAACATCAAACCCTGAATCATGGAGACGGCTTGTAGACTTTGTAGCATCGTTTCTGTAAGTGAAAATATTCTATGAAGTTGGGGTTTTTTTAACTAGTATTTTCTGGTTTTGCAACAGGCTCCCTTCATCAGGAGATGGCTCAAATTCTGTATGGAATCTCAGCTTTTCTACTGCTCTGCAAAGAGCCACTTCGCAATGGCTGCTTGGTAGCCCTTACCACACGCCTGGCACGTTCTCTGAAGTTGAAGAGCATCTTCTAGTGACTTCACTGGGACCTACCCAGGCCCACTCATGCAAAATTACCACCAGCTCAAAAGCCCCACAGGCTTCAGTGGCATAACAACTATGGCACATACGTACATATGTTCTTAAGTACATATGAATTAATGAACCCTGTAGCCTGAGTAGTCAGGAGAGGAAATAGGTTCAAATGACTTCTTTACCTCTTGCTTTTTGAGGACCTAACTACACTAACCGCATTCCCAGGTCACAACACTCTCCACACACAGCCAAGCTCCGACAGCTTGAGGCCTCCTGTTTGGACCAGGCTGTACTCGATCCTGCCCAGACGCCGCGGCGACAGGAGTGACAACCTTTTCATGTCACACCAGGCAGGCAAACTGATGGCGACTGCGGCGTTCGATATTCGTTGGGATGAATCATCTCGCATGCTTGCAATAAAATTCCCAGTGCCCAGCATGCTCATGCTTGCTGCCTTTGGCATATGGTTTTAGAGGAAACAAACAGTTACGACATTCATCTGTCGCAGCCGACGAAGCAGTCCCCGGGAGCACAGAGAAGGCTGTCATTTGGTCGTTTATGATCTGGTGATGAATATTGCATTAGGAGCGAGGCTGGCTAGAAAATGGGGAAAGGTTAGAGCAATCCAAGGGGGCTCCCCCCACCCTCCTCTCTCCCCTCTTGAGCCCCTTCCCTCCCACTGCAGAGTCCATTGTGCACATGCAGCGCCATCTGGGATTTCCCCCACCCCGTTACCATATCCCGTGACACATATGTCTAGGTTTTCTGCTTTCATGAGGTCATTCAGAGCAGTATGAGTACGTTCTCCGTGCATTTTTCAACCCCCTCCTATTTAGAAACCAAATCCTATTCATTAAAACCTAAATCACTAAGCCTGCCAAATTATTATCCCCAGAATATCGCGTGTCCCAGATTCTCCCTGGGCTGGACCTCTCTTCCTACAGTCGTATTCTTCAGGGACTTAAAGCAGTTGTTGTTTTCAGGGGGATCTGAAACACCAATAAACTGCTTGAAATGGGAAAAAAACATGCAGCATACTAAAAATCTTTAAGCGGCTTGACAGCTCTGAAATCACCATGTAAGCCTACTATTAAGGGAGTATGCTTGAAAATTTTGGCTAATAGCAATAACATGTATATTAAAAAAAAGACCTTTTTTTCAATTTGCTGCAATGAAAAATACATTTTTCTGTGATGCATGAAATTGTCGTAAGCTCACTGTCTAAGAACTTCACTAAAAGTGAAATAAATTGCACATTAATTCAATCCCTTCTCACATTGCACTTCAGCAGCTCCGTTTACACTACCACACAGTTATGCAGTTGCGTATAGAGAAGTATTCTCTTTCTGTTTTTTACTAGCATATACTCGTCTATTTAGAGTTTAAAATTGGAAAGATCACTTCATATACAATAAACAATAATAAAGCTTACAGCCATTCCCGAGCACGAGGTCTTCTTTCATCGAGAGCACATTAGGAAGGAAGAGCCAATTAAAAGGAACCTTGGGTACAGCTGCTCAGCCTGGTTTTCATTATTCCTCAGCACAGCATATGCAATTTGAACATCATATGCATTCATATAAGGAAACTATATCGTAGCAAAATGGCTTTCTTTCATCCTCCCATGTGTAATTGGTAAATTCACCATGGTCATCCACAGTTGGGTTTTTGGTTTGTTCTTTGAATTTTGCAACTTGGTAGTATTTCTCATAGTTAAATGAAAAAGGAAACTTATTGTCTCTGTTAATGTGTATCAGGATCTATATCCTTCACTGCTGATGCAAAACGGCATTTCGTTTTTCATATTTATTCCACCTCAGTAAATCTGCCTGCCCAGTCCTCACGTTTTGATTTAATTTAATGCCTGCAAGATAAACCCTGTCATTTGTAATAATTTGTAAACCTTCATCTTTAAAATGCATCCAATCTGTCCTGCAGCCCTGTAAAGTATCTGTTAAACATTTTGCTTCAGCTTCCTCATGGTGTTCTCCTCTGATAAGGGCTGCTGATACACAGCATAAAGCTGACTTATTTCTTATCTCCATCAACATGGGTGTTGTTCCATTTCCAATTAAAAAAAACTGGGGCAGCAGCCACTCATCTGGGTGCAGGGAAACAAATGTCTGATAAACACTGAATCCATCAGCTGGGCAGCATCACTGCCTGAATCAGGCAGGGGATTCGTGAAAATAATTATTAAAATCTAAAACTGGAATTCATATACAATTTAGCGAACTTTAAAAATCTAAGCGAGATCAATCATTTTCATTTATCAATCAGTAGATATTCATAAAGCACATTAGCTTATGTAAATTGTCCAAAAGAGCTGGCCGTTCGCATCTGCCACAGGGAAGGAAAACACAAACCAGTCCCTGTGTGACACCACCATTCAGATCTGACTGTATTAGGTGCTTGAATTGAATAATTGCTCTTGCTGCTCATCCCAAGAGCTCGGGCAGTATCACTTTTCAGCATTCTCCTCCAGAGTACGGGGAACCTGGTATACAGGGGCTAGTAGCTGGGCATGCAGTCCTAGCCCAACTACCTCTGAGTATTTATTCTATACAATTACAAGACATCATTAGGGAGTTCCTTGCATTAAAAAACACAACCTGGAAACCTGGAGTTTAAAATTCCAGCAAAGAGAAAAAACTTTTAGCTGAAAAGTACAATTTGCTAATAGTTAAATGCAGATACTTTCCCCTGGATGTGGCAGTGCAAAGCATACTGAGTGGGATCTTCTCTTGCTCAGTATTCGCAAAAAGCTACATCCCCCAAACCCCCTCTGGCACTGGCTTATCTCCTTGGACTTTGCAATTCATTTCTGGAAGGAAGAGTTAAAAGACTCTGTGACAGCGCTTCAATCGCTTGGAGCTATGGTGGCTGCCTGGCAATCACTGCATCATCCAGGGCATCTCATGAAGGACGGCCATTACACCAAGTCCAAGTGGGGATCCTGGAGGAAGAGGCAAGCGTTGGAAGCCCAGCAAGCCTCTAAGGCACCGCAGGCAGGAAACCCAGTCTGGACAGCAAAGGGACACATTTCTGAAGGGGTCAGCTTCTGGTTTACACCCCAAAGTGACATGGCAGCACCTTCCAGGAAGTTTCTTCACAAGGAGAAAAAGCTCATTTTTCTCCATGAGAGAAAGCTGCTGGCAAAAGAGCCCTTTGGAAAAATCCTGCTATTTCAGAGGTACCTGATGGCTGTTGATCCCATCTAAAAACCCGACTGGGCTAGACAGCCTGAGCACTTTGGAAAATCTGCCCCCCAAACTCGAATATGCCTCCTACATCCGTGCTTCACAGCAGGAACTTTACAGGGGGATCTGGGCTATTTATTTTGCTACTGAAACTAGGAGAAGGACTCTTTCTGCATTTTAATTCGCTGTGAAACATATTGGGAATTTAAGTGAATAGAAATAAGGAGCATATTGTAAGAGAGCATGTGTTACTTTGAGAAATTAGGGAACTGGCAAAGAACAAAGCTTTGAAGTGTTACATACACATACCTATGTAACAGGTCCAAAGTATAAAATTATCACAGAAAAAAATGAGGAAATGGTGGCAAAATTAAGATAGGAAGTTCCCCTGCCTGCATCCTATGAAAGCAACAGATCAACAACCTTGACTTGGTAACAGATTTACCGTTCTACATGTTGTGCTTTCATCCTTGCCAAAATAAAAGGGAAACCATAAACTCATCGTAAACACACTCAGCAACACGTTTCGTTTTGCACAGCTGCTAATGCATACAGACAACTTTCTTCAGTGTTTATTGTTACATGAGTTCTATCAGTTGAAAAGAAACTCATCAATCAGAAGAAAAAATTGCTGTAATTTTTGAAGAATGATCTGTGAGTTCAAGATGGTTTTATAGTCAAGGTACCAAGGACATTTTGTACATTAATTACTCAAAGTCTGCAGTGAGGTGGGTTATTGTCCACATACACTAATGGCTTTCAGAGTTTAATCTCTCATCAGCGGACCTCCTTTTGTGAAATCCCTAAGGGATTATGTAGTACTATGTCTAATCACTTGACAAATTTCATCTACTTGAAACTGAAGCTAGGTTTGAATTATACAAAGCATGTAGGAGAAAGCAGATTCAAAGTAGAAAAACAAAATCTGCTACTGGACAGTACCGGGATTTATCATTACATTCAAATCTCAACTGTTTAACAATAAAATAAACAATTCTACCTGGGGAAATGTACTAGCTGTGTATCAGTTCCATATGCCTATGAGACACTCAGATAGCTTTAACTGACACACAACAGGTTCAAAAAGTATACTATGACTCATGTAAAAAGGCAGTGGAAATTTAAATAATTTTGTTACTGCTGTAATACTGCAAAAAAATACTGCTATGATTTGTAGAGCGGTCTGCTACACTGAAGAGGGACATTTATTTGGTACCAATTATACGATGCAGAAAAAGAAACCAGTCCCTTTGCTAGTGGAATTTACCCTCTGAAGTTGAGCATTCTAGACCAAATAAATCACCTGTAAGGCTGGGATGGATGAAACACCTCTCTCCTCCTGTGCTGCCGTCTCCCTACTGCAGAACCACTGCCAGGGAATTGTTCTCTCCACTAAGCAGCAATTCTTGGTCATTAACACATCCTGAAATCTAATGTTGTGAAACTCACTGCATTATTCCCCCTTATCATAGCGCAGGCAGATCTCTACAAGAGCACAATTTGCCAGACACCACCATTTAAAATTAAGAGTAGCGTTAGGGACCAAGCTAACTACACAAAGGTTGTGTGATATTATAATCTATTATACGTTATTATAACCTAGGTCTCCCCACACTGCATTGCAAAGCCTTGCTACATGGCTAGCCTTGATGAAAACACCAGATTACGGCTCTGAAAACAACATGCAAACACACAGGCACACGCTACCTCTGCAAACCAAATTTACCAAAACCCATCAAAGACGCAGCAATAACGAGACTTCTTTTGCAAACATCATTTCTGATAGGGTTAGGACAGATTCAGAGCAAATACAGACGCAGACAGAAAGATTGCTGCTCTATTAATTTGTTGTCAAGCCATGCAGGAAAGGACGGCTGAAAGCCCGAAGATGCAGTAATGATTGTTTAAGAGCTATTCGAAAAAGTGACAAAACTGGCCTAAACCTCTTTAAGCCCCCTGAATGAAAAGATTTAAACAGGCTATTGTTAGACCCCTGGGTACCTTTTTTCTCTTGGCTTTGTTCTGCATTTTCCTCCGCTGCAGTTTCCATGGCTGGCTTCATACCATCCACCAAAAATGCCGCCCCCCCCTCCCCCCCCCAGCAAGCACTTTTTTCTCTTCGCCTCCTTTCTCACTCCCTTCCGTCTCCTATTTACGGCGGCGGTGATTGAGCGGCTCTGTTCTCCCCTACAGTAGATTACAGTCCTTTCCAAAAAAACACCAGAAAAGTCTTGTCAGCTTCAATTTCGCTCCGCTGACTGGTCCACGAGGAGCCGTGCCAGCCAGCGCTCAGCCATACGTCACCGCCGGCCCCAGCTATAAAATAGCCATCCTGAGCCCGACCCTGCCCCGGCTCGCCGCGGCATGGGGACCAGCATCACCAGCAAGCACCCCCTGCCCCTCGCCCTCCCCTCTCCTCTTCCTCCCCCCGACCCATCTCCCAAGGCTCCTGACGAATGCTAATCAATTCTCCGGGCGGTGAATGGGATCGGTGACACCGGGAGGGGAGATAGGAGCGAGGAAGAAAGGAGACCCCCCCTCCCCGGCTCCCCCCAGGCCACCACCATGGGG